CTGGGCTGGCTATGTGGCGTGCCGAATCAACGAGTACGTGCGATGCGGACTATATAAGTCGACGGCCGGGAGAGGGAGTATTAATTTTCTATCTAGTCAAGTTAAAGTTAGTTGTGTCTCAAATAAACTAGTGCATTTCTTTTTGTCGAATCCAGTGTTTGAATCCACACCCAAAAGAACCCAGAAGAACGCAACAGTATAGTGAATCATATAGATTTGGAATCAGAAAGAAAGCAACTCTGTATATGGCACGTAAGACTTTATATTACATACCGCAAAGGTTGGATGACAAAGATATGTTTATTTCTCCTGTTTTGAACACCTTTCAAACCTCGTTTATATAGTAATAAATTCATACCATCGGTATAGGTAATTATTTCAAAAACTGCAAGAATGCTAATTGTTAGGCGCCTGTTTAAGCATCTGTTACTAAACAAGAACTATCGACCAATTAATATCCAATAAGGTGATTTATTGCGATAAAATTCAAATGAATTGATCGAAAGCGCTTCTAGGCGCAGAAGCGATAACATCCTGCAGCCGGCACAGGGTAATTACGAGTAGACCACATTTAACAATTTCTTTTTACTTTTTGATATCCGGATACATCTACGGACTATGCGAGCTTGAAATTCCGTATTCATGGTCAATACGAAGTGAATTATAGAACGGGCGACAAGATTTTAATATCGCATCCACAGAGTGCAGTGTCTTACAGATGAAATTAGCAAATTGAAATTTAGAATGATGAAACCGATGCATAAATATAGTTTTTCAGGTGAGGATTTAATATTTGCGTTTCAAAGAAATCCTCGTCGCAGGCTGTTATCGATGTTAGAAAGATATTCACAACTCAATTGAATATATACTAAGTGACATATAAATCCGAACACCCAGTTTAAATGGTTTTATTTTAATTAAATTTTGTATAAGTACTTAATGAAGCATAGTAAGTAAATGATGAAAATTTCAAAATGATTGCACTGCTTTAAAGCCCTTTGACCTTTAATAATGTGTGGATGCACCCTGATGTGCTACGCATTCTCCAAAGCGCCTAGGCATGCTTCTGATCAGGTGGTCAATGTCCTCCTGTGGTATCTCATTCCAGGCAACCACCAACTCCTCTCGAAGTGCTTCTAGAGTCTGAGGAGGACGTTGCAAATTGAGCAATCTCCTACCCATCATATCCTACACGTGCTCAATTGGGGATAAGTCGGGAGATCTTGGTGGCCATGGTAACAATGTGACATCATTATGTTGAAAGAAGTCTATTGTGACTCTTGCAACATCTGGTCGGGCATTATCTTGTTGGAAAGTTGGATCTGCCAAGGTGTCAAGATAGGGTAAAAGATGGGGTTCTAGAACTTCGTGGATATAACGCTGCACGTTCATGTTACCTCTGATGAAGATTAAAGGTGACCTGGAACCATAAGCTATAGCACCCCAAACCATAACTCCAACAGTGTGATGAACATGTCTTTCAACAAAAAACTGTGGATTCCTCCTTTCACCACGTCGCCTTCTAACCCTGGCACGACCATCGTGCATGCCTAAACAAAATCGAGACTCGTCACTAAAAACAATACTGTTCCATTCCTGATCCCAGAGTGACCGTTGTATGCACCACTCAAGGCGATTACGTCGGTGTTCTCGAGTTAGGGAGGACCCAGTGTGGCCGGTATGAAAACAAGCCAAAACTTCGCATTCGTCGGTAAACACTTCGCATGCCAATAGGTCTTCCGTGTTCTGCAAACCATTCATTTGCAATGGACCTGGTAGTGGAGAAACGGTCCCTTAAGGCCAATAATCTTAGGCGGCGATCTTCACGGTCTGTTGTTCTACGGCGGCGTCCAGTGCCCCTTGCTCTTTGCGTACGGCCTTCTCGAAGCCATGCCTGACAACACCTAACCACAGTGTCTACACTTCTTTGCACTCTAACTGCAATTGCTCGAAAAGAAACTCCAGCTTCCCGAAATCGTACAGGTCTCCGTACTCTAGGCATCGTAACCGATCGTAAAGGATGTCAAGAACCAAAATCCGCCAACGTTGATTCTTTACTGCGGCTGAAATATTCATTTTTAGAGCGTTAGTGAATTAAAAAAAAAGCAGTATAAAAACATTAATGTCCAACTGATAAGGCTGAAAATTTTTTCACTTGTTATTTACAGTAAGATAAATACATTCACCAACTTTTATTAAAATAAAACCATTTAAACTGGGTGTTCGGATTTATATGTCACTTAGTATACAACAAATTTTCATATTTTGATAGAAAGTAACAATTTTGGATTTTTTGTTAAATATATTATTGTATTTTAAAAATAAATTTTTCGGCAGTCGAGAAGCGGAGATTCATTGTAAAGATTTTCTGAGGAATAACATTTCTTTTTGTTCAACATAACTTTCAAAATCCACTTCTGCGTAATTTCAATCTTTTTATAATAATTATTCATGATTCGTTATTTATAAAAACGAGGATCTGTATAAATAAAATAGAACACAACACATTAAAAGCAAGTAGAAGACATACACAAGAGTAGATATATGAAATAAATGAAATTTAGATACACTAAAAACAAAACAAAAGTACAGAATGACCAACTAAACGTAGAGTTCTTACTGAAATGGCCAAGAAAAAAACTGAAAAATATTTTCAAGTTTCTGAAATGACCGCTAGATGGCTTAACTGCAATCATGAATTTAAAAATGTGATATAAAGGGGTATTCAAAGGTCTCCGTAAAGAACACCCTGTATCTTCGAAACGGCTGAGTCGATTTTAACAAGTTTAAGCTAGTTGAAAAGAGCTATTTTTGGACTACATACGTTAGAATATCTGAAGTTTTGTTGATGTCCCATGTAGCTGCTAGAGGGCAGAAATGGCTAATTTTCTCAAAAAAATTAAATGCATGACATGATATGGTGCATTCTAAAAGTAATTGAAGAAGTTCTTCCAGCTTCTATCTCTTTCTTACATGTGTTGACACACGCTTTTCGTGCTTCTCTTTCGTACACATTGAGCCTAATCCGTCAGACAAGTTTGGTTTTCCCTGTATATTACCCCGCTGCCTTTTCGTTTTTTTCTATACAAAGTAAACATTTTCTTATTCAGATATACTTATACTGAGAGTTGATATATCACGAGTTCAGGTACTGTTAGGATATTATATTTCTCTATAAGTATGGGTAGAAGCAACTTTTGTCATTATTCGCACAAAACGTTTTTGCGCTATGAAAATGCCCCAAAAGCACATTCCATATCTAATTCTTGATCCAAGAAGCAAATAATACAGGGTGTCCGCAAAGTTGGGGCTTTCCTTCTCAGAAACAACTACCCTTGAAATAACAAAGGTAATGTGTAGTGAAACGAGGGCGACCAAGTAAAAAGAATAAAGGAAAAAGTACTCACTCTCCAGTTGACGAGAAGGGCTAAGTACGTATCTGCCCGAAATCATACCGCTCAATCAGCTGATGCGCTACCGAGCAGACGACGGCGGTGGTGCAGACCAGTAGACCACGAACAGAGGTAACAAATATGACCATCGTGCAGAAACCACATTGATTGTCTTACACTTAATGGCACATCTTCTAACAAGGAAGGCAAAATGTTGCGTAAAAAGTCTAGGTATAGCATCCCGTCCAATCGATTTGGGAGAATAAATGGTCCAATGAGCATACCGTTCACCATGCCAGCCCAAACATTCACCGAAAATGTTTGTTGAAAATGACCAAACATGAGTGTTGCGAAAGTTATTCACCCCATTACGCGTGAAAGTAGATTCGTCTGTCACCAATATGCACTTCAAAAAGTCCGGATTATTGTCATGTTGATGCAACAACCACTCACAAAACCGCACTCTTGCTGGAAAATCGTCAGGTTGAAGGGCTTGTACACGTTGGACGTGAAACGGATACAGCCCCTCTTCACGCAGCGTTTGCCACACTTTAGTTTTTGATACTTGCACTTCTCTAGCCACGTCTCTAGTGCTTGTTGTTTTTTGAAACGCAATCGATTATACGAGTTCGTTTACCTCTACACGCGTGACCGTAACCGTCGTTTGAAGGTTGCATACTAACCTGACACACAGACCCCGACCCAGTTCTGCCGTCGGGTTGAGACCTTGTAACAGTCGGGGATATCGCGGCGGGTCGCGGTTCTAATACTCAGGTACCTAAAATGATTTCGTCACTCACCTTAGAAAAAAAATTTAGTAGACTGGATTTATTCTTAGTCGCCGCTTGCAATTCTTCTTCGATTCTCTTAGATACAATAATATCTAGTTCCTTATCGGATTTTGCTTGTAATTTGTAATTTCCCCACACCTCGTTAACTAACTATTGTATATTTTGTACTTTCATACTTGTATGAGATTTTTTAAAGCTTTCAAACAATTTTTGGTATAACTTGGATTTGTCTATGTGAAACGACGTCTTATTTAAACATTAAACTTTGGCTAATGGAATCAATGGTAACACAAATGTTAACTTGCTTTACTATGCTTACAATACGTCTACTCGCTATAGTATCCAAACGAAACAATACACAGATGGAAGAAATTTAGACAAGTGAACACCGCGCGGTAATTCCCCTACTCGGTTCTAAAGCGAGTAGGGGAATGACCGCGCGCTGTTCACTAAACGTATGCATTATTTGCGGGAATCCCCGAAAATGCGTTTCGTTTTCAAGCAAAGACAATGTGAGGGTTGCCATTCGTGTAAAAAAGTAAATAACTACCGATGACGTAATCATCATCTAGACTCCCCTACCCCCCATGTCAACCAAAATAAGCAAAGCAAAGACCCCCCCGCCCCCCCATTGTGCTCAAGTAATACTTGAACGGCCCCTAAGTGGTGACACTTCCTAAACTAACAGTCGCAATTGACGGATATACTTTTGAACTTTACTCTTCAAAGGTCGCTTCAATGGTGTCAGCATGTAACAGTCTTCTAGAGCACCAAAAAACTACATGCCTCTATTTTGCTAACTTGTTTTTTTTTTCAGGGCCACTGGAAGATGTTTAGCCCAGTGCATTCTCTCAGAAAGCTTCTATTGCTGCCTATACGGAATATACTATTCTTGTTATCTTTGGTAAGTGTTCTATACAACAATTTCTAGATCTAAGCGTACAACCATCGTATCATTTGTACAATTGTTTTACAGTGTTGAGAAGGGCAATAATGTGTAATGGTACAACTGAAACCAATCCCTGTGGAACACCCGCGTTGATTAGATTGGATCAGATATGAGAATACAGCGTTAGATGCTTGACATTGAATGTTTTTTTTAATTTACAAGATTGTAATGATAATGAAAGTATAATCAATTGCTGCACACCTTTTTGTACCATAATTAATTTTTTTTAATATCTCAATTCTTATATTGATCTTATTCCAAATTAGTTAGTCATGCTTGGTTGTTTTTCTTGCTTTTGAAGTAATACAAAGTCTCTTATACTTGAAACTTATTTTCTACCTTTAAGTTCGATTTGCTATTAAAGCGTGTTTTTTTACTATTTTAAACTATAATTTATTTTCCGACTTTTAGTGTCAAAATAACAACAAAGGTACTTATAATCAAGCGCATCTATTTCTGGCATATTTTATAATTGATAATAAGTCTAAATTTAGTTCCAATTTTTTTCAAATTTCAAAATTTGTCTGAAAAGTTCAAATTCCCAAATTACACTGATCAACAGCCAAAAAATATCCTAAATAAAATCAACAAAACATTACTTTTTTTAATGTGCTAAAACCGGAATGAAACTTATTTTTTCAATATTAGTTCAAGTTTTAGAGATACGGTAATTATATGTGTTCCTGCTGTGACAGTGTTAATATACTGTAATTCACAAGAATACACGTGCTACATTTTTATATTCGGCAAGGAAAGATAATATAATCGGCATGATTGTGTTACCTTATACATACGTGTACATTATATTGTTTTATATTAGCCATTTTTTCCTCAGTTGGCTGACAGCGTTCATGCAAGATGTCTCGAAAGTGTGTAAACAATCCAGATCAGTTTTGTTACGTGTGTGGTGATGTGACTTTTGCGTCTCAGAGACGGTCTATTACTCCACTAATAACAAAGGCATATCAGCTTTATTTCGGTTGTAAACTAGGTGATCAAGACAAACAGTGGGCACCCCACATCTGCTGTAATACATGTGCTTCAAGTCTGAGGAGCTGGTTAAATGGCAAAAAACGGTCTATGCGCTTTGCTGTCCCAATGGTTTGGAGAGAGCCTACAAATCATATTAATGATTGTTACTTTTGCATGGTACCTTGTGTTGGACAAGCCACAGGTATGTCCAAGAAAAAAAAATCGGTTATTAACTACCCAAACATACCAGCTGCGATGAGACCTGGGCCTCACAGTGACGAAAATCCTATTCCAAAACCCCCAGAATCCTACACTTGCGAATCAGAAAACGAATCAGATCATGGCGATCGAGTGATTCGTCAGGAAGAAGATATGCCATCAACGTCAAGAGATCCTGATTTTATACCGAGTACGTCATGCCACCAACCGCACAAAATAACACAGTCAGAATTAAATGATCTTGTAAGAGATTTAGAACTTCCAAAATGTAAGGCAGAGTTACTTGGATCAAGACTGCAGCAGTGGAACTTGTTAGAAGACGATGTTTCGATATGTGTTTTTCGTAAACGCCATAAAGACTTAGAACCATTTTGCAATATGGAGAATAACTTGGTTTTCTGCAGTAACATTAACGGCTTACTGGCGGCTTTAAATACAAAACTATAACCCAGAGGAATGGAGATTGTTTATAGACAGTTCAACATTGAGTTTAAAGGCAGTGTTATTGCATATTGGAAATATTTTACCTGTAGGGTATGCAGTTCACATGAAAGAATCATATGACAATATGAAGTACCTATTGACATGCATAAAATACGATGAGCACCAATGGCATATTTGTGGCGATTTGAAAGTTGTTGCATATTTACTTGGGCTGCAGCTAGGCTACACAAAGTATTGCTGTTTTTTGTGTGAATGGGACAGTCGGGCAAAGGCACTTCATTACACCAGACAAAACTGGCCTGTTCGTCAATTCCTAGAGCCAGGTCAAAAAAATGTACAGCATATGCCATTAGTAGATTCGAAAAAAATGTTATTATCACCATTGCATATCAAGTTGGGCCTAATGAAAACTTTGTCAAGGCATTAGATACAGATGGGTCAGCTTTTCAAGACCTGCGTCAGAAATTTCTAAGACTAAGTGAGGCAAAGGTTAAAGAAGGTATTTTTGTTGGGCCACAGATTCGAAATGTTTTGAAAGATACACAGTTTGAAAACAGTTTAACAGGTATTGAAAAAACTGCTTGGAATGATTTCCGTCTGGTGGTCACTAATTTCTTGGGAAATAGAAAAGCTGACAACTATAAAACCCTTGTCAAAAATATGCTGTCATCGTATCAAAAGATGGGCGGTAATATGTCTCTTAAGATACATTTCCTACACTCACACCTGGACTTTTTTCCTGACAATTGCGGAGCCGTAAGTGATGAGCACGGCGAACGTTTTCATCAGGATATTTCAACAATGGAAAAAAGGTACCAGGGAAAGTGGAATCCTTCCATGCTTGCAGACTACTGTTGGACTCTTGGTAGAGATGCTCCAGAAACGATCCATGAAAGAACAGCAAAAAGACAGCGCATATAGTGATCCTTATAAGTATATGAATCTTGTTACTTTTTTTAATATATCCTTAAAAATAAATTTTTTTTTCTAAACCGCACTTAATTTTTTTATTTCATTGTCATTTTTGGATTCAGCGCCACAAAATTAACAAAGAAGTGCACTTTTCCCACAAGATACAATTAAAAAACTAAAATTTGTTGTCCAGTGTTATTGTCCAAATTTTCAAATCCAATTTTTCCCAAATTCCAAATCGTTTTTTTTCAGATTATTGTATTCTCATCGGCTCTTGACCCCTGTACAAATTTTCAGCTTAATCAGACTTCTTGAAATTGGTGAAAATAACATTTAAATATTCCGATACATACATACAGATCAAGTTAATAAAAGCGTGTTAAAAAAGAAACATAAATCACAAATGCCTCAAGGTACCTAATTATTTCTAAAAGGTGTTTTTGTCGATACTTTACCCGTAGTGTACCAGTCCAAAGTATTTTATGTTTATGATTCTATGATGCTGTGGATAACAAATAAATCTTCCAAAATTTAATTACCTGATGCATGTAAGCAATTGATGTAACATAAAGCGCAAGAAACGGACTTATTGGATAGCGATAGCGGTGTGAACAAACCTATTAACGTCAGGATTGATGCTAACGAAAGTTAATCAAGCATATAAGCGTAATTAAAGTTTAATTAAGAAGAATACATTCAGGAAAAATGTTACAATGTAAGCAATTTGATACTTATCGTTAGATATACAGCGTGCCCCAAAGTTAGAACTGTCTTCTACACGGTAATGATCTTATATTTTATAGTAAAATATCGGTTCTAAAAAAACAAAACAAAAATGGCACACTCGAACAGCAATATCGGAAATGTCTATATTATTTTAATTTGCCCTCAGTGCCTCCAAAATGCTATCGAGGCTTCACGAGTGCATGCAGATCGTTCTTCAACATCCTTCGTGATTTCATTTTTTTCCATGAACGATGAGTACTTTTTTTACTTTTTCGCTGTTGTTTAACCCCACGGAAGGAAATTCTCTTATCTCAGGACACCCTCTCTGTGTAACATTCGTCCTGATTGTACAAGGTTTTGGTCCGGATGGTGTCCTTTTTCAAGTACAGTTGACACCTTTGACAACATATTTTGCTTCTCTCTCTTCCAGGTGATACTTTGTTTTTTTTTTGCTTTCATTCACGTATTCCAATACAGTGTATTACTACAATAGCTTGAACGATTCTGTAACAAGCCATCGAAACACACTGGTTAGTTGTTATGCAACACTATGCAAACTACCCTTGAAATAACAAATGTAATGGGTAGTGAAACGAGGGCGACCAAGTAAAAAAAAAATAAAGGAAAAAGTACTCACTCTTCAGTTGACGAGAAGGGCTAAGTACGTCTCTGCCCGAAATCATACCGCTCCAACAGAAAACGAAATCAGCTGATGCGCTACCGAGCAGACGCAGGCAAACAAGGAAGGCAAAATGTTGGATAAAAAGTCTAGGTATTGCATCCCGTCCAATCGATTTGGGAGAATAAATGGTCCAATGAGCATACCGTTCACCATGCCAGCCCAAACATTCACCGAAAATGTTTGTTGAAAATGTGCCCGACGGACAGCGTGCGGATTTTCTACTGACCAAACATGAGTGTTGCGAAAGTTATTCACCCCATTACGCGTGAACGTAGATTCGTCTGTCACCAATATGCACTTCAAAAAGTCCGGATTATTGTCATGTTGATGCAACAACCACTCACAAAACCGCACTCTTGCTGGAACATCGTCAGGTTGAAGGGCTTGTACACGTTGGACGTGAAACGGATACAGCCCCTCTTCACGCAGCGTTTGCCACACTTTAGTTTTTGATACTTGCACTTCTCTAGCCACGTCTCTAGTGCTTGTTGTTTTTTGAAACGCAATCTATTATACGTGTTCGTTTACCTCTACACGCGTGACCGTAACCGTCGGTTGAAGGTTGCATACTGACCTGACACACTGACCCCGACCCTGTTCTGTCGTCGTGATGAGCTAGTGTCCTAGTACCAGTCGGGGATGTCGCGGCTACAGGACGGTATTCAGATATGTTTGATGTTGCAGAGCCCTTTATCTCGGTTCCCTTAAGACATTGGTACTAAGAAAAATTGCTTATGTTTTCAAGATCTACACGTCGTGTAAAGAAAAACCGCAGCTTTGCGGACACCCTGTATTTGTCTAAAATGCTGCATGTGCATTTTTTATGGATCTGAAAGGCCAGAATAGTATTTCGGTATCTAAAGCGAATAATGTTGTCTGTCTTGTTGAACGATGACTTTTTTACGTGCAGGTTTTTATTATAATTTGTTATTGGATCTAACCCTATGAGATAATAGGGTAAAAGGGTTGACCTTCACTCATATAGTACTTCTCATAAAGG